TTGTGGACTTCAACTCCCAGAATTCCTGAGCTAACATGACTGGAGGAGGAATTCTGGGAGCTGAAGTCCACAAGTCTTAAAGCTGCCAAGTTTGAAGACCCTTGCTTTAAGGGTTACAAGTCTTATGTCAGTCTTTCTCAACCTCAAACCTTCTCAAGAACTATCTCAGGGGAATTCTGGGAGTCAAGGTCCATCTTAAACTTGGCAAGGTGGAGAAACACTTGAGACTCTAGCACAAGGCTCTTTAAACTCGGCAGCTTTAAGACTTGTGGACTTCGACTCCCAGAATTCCTGAGCTAACATGACCGGAGGAGGAATTCTGGAAGTTGAAGTCCACAAGTCTTAAAAGTTGCCAAATTTGAAGGCCACTGGCGTATAAGAAAGAACAGAGCAGGCCCTGCAGGCCCGCTAATTGCTGTTTCCAGGTTGAGGAAATAATCACTTCAGTTGAGATCTAATCTATTAATCGGTTAAATTGCATTGGCTGTTTTTGCCTTAAAATGGTAAGTGGGGAGAAAATACATTTCCTTTCTGTGTAAATCACAGCGGGCATTGTCTCAAAAGAGGCATTCCTCACTATATGAGAGGAAGAGAGGAGTTTTGGGGAAACCCATATGTAACCCTTCAATCTGGGGCAACGGGAACACGTTAGATCAAGGGTCTTCAAACTTGGCCAGTTTAAGACTTGTGGACTTCAACGCCCATAATTCCTGAGCTAATATGACTAGAGGAGGAATTCTGGGCGTTGAAGTCCACAAGCCTTAAAGCGGTCACGTTTGAAGTCCCCTGCGTTAGAGGTACATAAAACCTTATACGCTGCAGAAAATAAAAGTTTTATCTTTTTCACCCGGTTAAGAATCAAGGTAATCTATTCAACACAAGGCAATTCAGGAGCAACAAAGGAGATGACTCTTAACTAATGGGGAAACTATGGAGGGCATTAACTCCAGCTATGCTGACAAGCAATTAATCTGGGGAACTTTTAAGAAGAAACTAAATCAACTGGTAGCAAGTAGGGGGACCCTTGACAACGGCTGGTCTTAACAGCCTTAGGCTACCTCATAGGATGGTAGCTGGGATGGTAACCTTGGTTGGGCAGAGCTCTAGATTTCTACTATGCCTCAGTTCAACAATCCTCTAGCATGGAGCCATACGTGGACTTTGGAGGGAGTGGCTTCCTCCTTCAGTAACCGGACAGTTGCAGGCCGAATAAGACCAGCAAGCTTCATGTTTAAAAGTGGTCCACCTTGGATAATCTAGTGTCCACTGGTTAATTATTTTCACTGTGATGAACTTTCTCCTTAGTTACAGGTTGCTTCTCTCCTTGATTAGTTTCCATCCGTTTGCTTCTTGTCCTGCCTTCAGGTGCTTTGGAAAATAAGTTGACCCTCCCTCTTCTTTGGAACACTGCTATCATGTCCCCTCTGGTCCTTTTTTTTCTCTAGACCAGTGATGGCGAACCTTTTTGTGGTGGTGTGCCGAAAATGTCGGCATCCACAATACAATGCACCCTGCCCCCACCCCCCTGCACATGCGCGCACAACACCCTCCCCTTACCTGCACTGTGTATGCACGCACCTCCCAGCTGATTCCCAGCCCATTTGAGGCCGTTTTTACCCTCCCGGAGGCTCGAGAGAAGCCTCTGCAGGCTCGAGAGGCCGAAAAACGGGTCCGTTTAGGCACTTCGGGTATTTCCGGAAGGCCTGTTTTTCGGCCTCCCGAGGCTGCAGAGGCTTCCCTCGAGCCTCCGGGAGGGTAAAAACGGCCTCAAATGGGCTGGGAATCAGCTGGGAGGCGCGCGCATGCACAATGCAGGTAAGTTTGGTTGGGGCTCGCGTGCCCGCGCAAATGGCTCTGTATGCCACAGGTTTGCCATCACGGCTCTAGACTTAAGATCGAAGCTTTGCAAATGTGGTGGTGGTGAATAGAGCCCCTCTTTGCCCCTTTCCCGGCTGCCCTTTCTAGCATTTGCTACTCTGTGGTCTATTCCAGTGGAGGCAGTTACGGCCATGCGTGGTGAGGATGGCTGGGGTGAGAGGAGCCTCCCCTTGGCGGGTTTTCCTTTGCTGCTTCAGCACAAACAGATGTCTTCTGATTGCTCAGCCACTCTGGTCCTAGCAGCTGCCTCTACTTTAGGCTTTTGTGGCATGTCAGCAACTGTACCTGGCCAAGGAGGAGGGAGATTGTGATGACCCAGAGTGTAACACAAACGCAACAAACTCCAGAACGTAAATAAATGTCCTTTAATGCCTCCAACTTGGCCCCACTGTTCAACAATTCTCAGTTGGAGATAAAACGTACTCAGAAATAGTCTTCAAAAGAAAGCAATACAGTCCGAACTTAATGAGCAGATAGAGGTGAAATAAAAAACCAAAACAAACTACAATGAAGGAATTTCCACAATGCACCGGGATAAGTAATTACCAACTTCAAGGAGATAACAAGGCACAGTCTGTTGGAAGGACACCAACCAAGATAACTTCAGCCCAAAATAACAGACGCTTTGCTTTTGGCAACGCTGTGTTGTAATCGTCTCTTTTATATACTAGTCTCCCCAGCTGCAACCAATGAGGGGGATCATGGCCGCTTCCTCTCTCGTAAGCCAAGTTGTTTCCTTCTCCGTTCCTCCCTGCATGTCCTAGGATGAAGAGGGGATGAGCCTGGTTCTTCCTCTGACTGCCCAGCCGGCCTCTGCCCTTCCCCAGCCTCCTCCACAACCTCTGGAGCCACACTTCCACTCCCTGTCGGCTGTTCCTCCTCTCCCTCAGAATCCGACTCTAACAAGGGCATGACAGAGATGGTACTTAATATTACGAATTTCACCCAAGCTCCGTCCCTTTAAATATGATTTAGGTTTGAGTGATCTAGTAGAGAGTTCTATCTGCCTCTGTTTACAGCTGCCCTAATTGTTCCGGTGTGAATTCTTTTTTCTTTCTTTCAGGGTCGTATGAGTGTGGAATATGTGGAAAGAAATATAAGTACTACAATTGTTTCCAGACCCACGTTCGAGCACACAGAGGTATTGATCTCTTGTGCACCCCCTGAGGGGTTCTGGGAGTAGTTAAGAAATGCGGGCGGGGAAGAAATTTGTTTCTGTGACACTGTTTGCATTCACAAATGGGCTTTCCCAGGATTTTGTCCAATCACGTCTGTGCTCGAATGGCACGGCCAGTTTGATATCTTTAGGCAGATCGCAGAAATATGCCCCGTATTATTGAATTTGGCATGCGTTTAGAATACTGAACAAAACAACCGGGGGGCTGGGGGGGGAAGAAGGGAGGAGGAAATAAAATGCTGGTCATAGCAGAAAAGCCCCACCTCATTGGTTGCGTGGCAGTCTTAAGGTGGAAGACACAAGGGAGATTTAATTAAATTAGCCATACATTTGTAATGTTCATGGAGAGGTTTAAATTGCATCCCAGTGCTGCAAAGAACAAGCTACCAGCATTGCGGCTGCTCCCCCTCCTGGTCCACTAGTATAAAGCCTCCAGCCCTAAAGTGGGGTGAGGGATGCATATAACCCCTTTGATGGGTGAGGCCTTCGCCCTTCAGGCCTCTCATCTGCCCGGCTTCCCTTCTCTTGGCCGTCCGCTTCGCCGCAGAAGATTAAACGCCCGCCCCAAATAGCGAAGTTAAAATAATTGCAACGAGGCGCCGCCACTTTTCACGCACCAAAATCTCCAGCCGGCGTCACGGATTTACCTGGCCTCTTGGGTGTAGTCATTCTACCTTTTGGTTTTGCTTCTCACGAAGGGGAGGGGGAGGATTTGGATGGCCACCGGTTGCCCCCTTGAAAAACCGTACTGCAAACAAGCGAGGGGTTCTGCCTGAGATGAGGGGTCTTCGGGCTATCTGGTCTCAAACAGACACGTTTCTTTGGCATCAGATCTGGGAAGGAGAGGCCTTTCGACCTCACGCCTGGATGGGAGGGTGCTTATTCCTGGGCATGCATTCTCAATGCGGTTCTTCTCTTCGCCTAGACACAGAAGCGGCATCAGGCGAAGGAGCCTCTCCTGGGAGTAAGTATCGACACTCTCCTTGAATAGCGCGGAGCGATGCTTTGCGAGCAAAAGGTCTCCCCGCCCCTCCCCAGTTCCAGGTTACTGGGAGAGGAGAACGGAAGTCCCTCTTTGTGCCCAAGACCCCAGAGCGCTGCTGCCAGTCAGGGCCCAGAGGGTTGGGCATGTTGGACCCAAAGCCGACCTGAAGCCAAACGGGGTCAGCGGTCGCCACTCGGTTGCAAAAGAAGCCTTGTGCAGCCCGTGGGGAACACACACACACACGCTGCCAGTTGTCCAGTGTGAAACGTAGCGGCTGTGTTGTGGTGCCATGTGCAGGTGAAGAAGAGGCTCCATCGTTTGGCGACTTTTATCTTGTTTTGCTCCCGTGCTGATCTTCTCTTCCACCCCTTGCTCTGTATTTTTATTTTTTTGCCAAGTTGTTTTCTGCCTTGGAAAAACGCTCTTAACCAAAGAAGGAAACAACAACCTCGTTTATAATTTGGATTTCGCGAAGGCCGGTGGTCTAGTTTTCCTTACTTTGGATCCTCTGATCCGTCTGAATGCGGTTAGGGATTGGGGTGTGTGGTTGTCTCTTTATCACTGCATCTCCCCCCCCCCCCCCCCAAAAAAAGGCATCAAAACAGAAGAAGAAAAATGCTGCTTTCTTTGATTTGGAGCATGATTTTTCTCTTCTCCAAAGTTCCTTGGTGCCAAGAGATGTTGAGTCCCCGAGATGGTTCCGTCCGTTGCTCAAGATTACAGCTTTTCAGGGCCTTTGGTGGGGTTGAGGTGTGCGAAGACCAAAGAGCAGCCAGAGGCGAGAGTGTTGGTCCAAAGCCAGGTGCTGGTAGAGGGTTCTGTGCATGGGGACTCCTCGGGGAAGCCCTGGGTTCTTCTTGGAGTGTCTCGAACATTGTGTGCTCTTTCCTCCCCACAGATAACTTTAGGTACACGTGTGACATTTGTGGGAAGAAGTACAAATACTACAGTTGCTTCCAAGAGCACAGAGACCTGCATGCAGTCGATGGTGAGTGGTGTCAATGTCTGGATTGCTTGGCGAGGAGAGGACCGTCCTCGTTCATACCTGATGCTATGCAGGAGCTCGCTCAGCCCTCGTTCCCACCTTCCAGACGGAGTTGTAGGAGTTGGGAAACGTGGACGGCTAAGCTCAAGCAGCAGCTTCTCAGAACAAGCCAGGATTTCCATTTGGCTTGAATGTAAGAGTTGCTCAAAGAAAGGAATAGAGCTTCCCGTCTCCTCGCAAGGAAAGGGGGCAAGGGGGGCAGTGTGATGACCCAGGGCGGGATACAAAACACACAGTCGCAGAAAACAGGTGAATCCCCTTTTATTCCTTCACTTTGCTTCCGAGCTCCGAATAGTCTTGACAGAAGACAAAAAACTCCCACACAAACAGTTACAAGAAGGAGGAAAAAAGCAACACAAACCAGGCAAGATAAGGGCTGGAGGACGTCCACAGATAACACACACTGGGAAGGACACCAAACTCAGAGAGGAACTATAAACTAGAGCTATTTCCATGCTTTGTTTCCAGCACTCGCCAGTATGCATGTCCGTCCTCTTATTCAGTTGTCACAGCTGCAGCCCGTGAAGAGGATCAAGGCCCTCCCCTCCCAAGGAGACCACGTCTCTCCCTTATCCTCCCTGCGTGTCCTAGGATGGAGAAGGGACTGGGTCCTCCTGGGTCCTCCTCTGACTGCCCAGCCAGACTCTGCCCTTCCCCAGCCTCCTCCACAACCTCTGGAGCCACACTTCCTCTCCCTGTCGGCCGTTCCTCTTCTCCCTCAGAGTCAGTCTGCACCAGGGGCATGGCAGGCAGGCAGGATGTCTTTAGCTCTTGCTTAAAACTCTTTGCCAGGTTTATGGAAAGAACCTTGGGAGGAGAGCTCTTGTACAGGGCTGTTGACACCATTGTGGTGATGCAAATAAAAATAAAAATTAAATAAATGAAATCCAAGGGAAACCGTTAGAATGTGGTGGTTGTTGTGTGTGTTTATCTACATGTACCCAGTTAGTTTAGAGGCATAACACCCTACAATTTTTGGCAGTAAAGTTGCAGCCAGTAGAAACTTTATGGCTAAATGATTCCAACCCTTTAAGAAGACTTGGACGGATGAGCATTCGGGTGAATGCTCCACGGATGGAGGAGCGACCAGGCTGGAATTCCTGCCTCGTTGCAATTTGAAGCACCCGTGGGCATGTGCAGAGATCAATCCGTTCAGTTGAGAGAAGGAGAGTATTGGGGCATCTTGGTATAGGCATCTTGTAAGAATGACTGCAGTGCATTGCAATCGTCACACTTTAAAAGGACATAATTAGTGCAAATTTTATATTTTGAGTTGGAATTATGCAGGTTGTAATTAATCCCTTTGATCGGCAGATTATTAAGAAAAATACGATCAGTAAAAAAATACCGATGCGTGTGTAAAATGTATGTTAAACCTATATAAATCATTATCAACAACAGTATGTTGGTCCTTTTTCTTGTTCTTTTTGATTATACTCTGTTCAGTGTTTTCTTGCCCAAGTTTTCAAAAAGTTTTTTTTAATATAAAAAGCTTCAAACAGGAGGAAGCTAAAACGCTGCTTGGGTTGACTTTATCCAGCTTCTTAAACTCTCTCGTGGCCAATTCTGCTGAAGGCGGGAGTGACCCATCCGTGGCAGCGGATGAGAGCAGGGCTCTGGGGGAGGCCTTTCCACGTGCCCCGATCAGCTCTCTCCTCCTTCTCTCCTATTGCAGACCCCTACGACCAAGCAATGATTGCCAAGGAGGAGGTGAAAGAAGAGGACCCTGAGCCCTTTCAGAAGATTGGTCCAAGTACGATTGACCAAGTTTGCAACTTAAGTAATTAACTGGCTTTCATGGTCTCAGAGCTGAGGTTTCAGGGCCAAGCCAGGGATGGAGTGGTCCTCACAGAGGCAGGAAGCTCTCATTTATTTGTACCACAGAAAGAGCACGTGCTTTGCCTGTGCGGCTCTCTTCCTTTTGGCATGGCTGGTGATTGACTGGAAAAATCTTCCTTGGATGCATCTTTCTCAGGGGTTTGTTGAAGGAGCAGCAATAGCTAGGTTTTTCCAAGGTGTAGCAGGCAGAATAACTCTCAGGATGCCCGAAAGCTGCTTGGCATCGGGTCTTCTCATGGGTCCATCTGCCCCACGACTATCGGCACTGACTGGCTCTAGGGCTCTGGACATCCATCCAAGCAGAGGGGTTTTCCCAAGCCCTCCCCTGGAAATGCAGGGGTGAACCTAGACCTTTTGCACGCAAAGCAACAGCTCGAACTCAGGACTGCGGCCGTTCGTCAGGAGACAGGCAACCTGCTTGCAAATAGCACTCCTGTGTAAACAGAAAACGAATCTTCCACGATTTGACGTAGAGAGGAAACAAACACGATTGATTTGGGGAATTATAAAAAAATATTCTTGCTTTAATGTTACACACTTTTTATAAGCATCTAGTTAAAACAACCCAATTTGTCCCAAAATATTTAGATGTAAAATACTTCATTGCAAGGAGAAGGAATTAAGTGCGTGTTATTTATTTTAGTTATTATATTCAGACATGTGCAAAACATTCCACTTGCCTTTCTCGTGGCTTAATTTTAGAATTCACAAAGAGCTCTTCATTAAAAGGGAAGATATTGTCTAAGTATCGTCCTCTGGGATAAGAAAAAAAAAGTCAATTACAATTTTGCAGTGTTCTAATTTGATTGCTACTTCATTCGTTGTTACGTTACCATTTTTTCCCCTCCAGAATAGGGGGAAAATGAGGAGGGGGGGGGGGAAGCAATATTAAAACTAAAAATCGATCTTAGACGATAACTACCCCTCGTAGGGCACTGATGAGAGAGCGACTTGGCCTTTGCCGTCTGCGAGGGTTTACACAGCCCACTCCCCAGTGCAACTTTTGCGAAAGGAAGTATTGCCTCTGTAAGCAGAGCTGGGGAAAAACAAAGGAAACAGTTACCACGAAGGGTCCCCCCCCTTGTTCAAGAAAAGTTGGAACCTGTAGGAAATGTCCACCCTGCTATGCTATGAGATCCATATTTGGGTCGTAAACATGTTTGGGAAAAAATATCTTTTCTCCATCCCAAAATTGTTCTCTGTCGCTTTGCAGAAACGGGCAATTATACCTGTGAATTCTGTGGCAAGCAGTACAAGTACTACACGCCATACCAGGAGCACGTGGCCCTTCATGCACCAATCAGTGAGTATCCACCTGTGACACGACAGCCGGGGAAAGCCGGGGATCCGGGATCTTTCAAGGCCAACCACACAACCAAAGTGATTACGAGGGACAGACCCATACTAGCATATCTCCCTGATGATAGCTGCACTTTGGGGGGGGGGGGGGGATATACTTTGAAGAGAGGGAGCTGTCCGTATTTCAGTGCAAATATTCAGGCCGGATTGCCTGTAATTGTTGATACTATTATTCTATAAATAAAATGTAACAGCTGTATTTTGCAGTTTACACATTTTTGATAATGTTGGTTTTTCAGCTGGACCCCTCAGCTGTTTACGGCTTGCGTAGCTGTTTCTCTCAGTCAATTGAAAGATTCAAAAGCATGGGATCTGCTTAGTGGTTTTAGCCCTCCATTTCCAAGGCCCCATTCTCCTCTAGGCAAGTGGGGGAGGCTGACCGCCTCTGTCGTCCACGAAGGCAACCCAGGCTCCTTTGCCCTCAGAAAAGTGGCAAACTCGGCACTCCTACTCAGTTAAAGCCTGCTAGGACTTTGCTCCCGGTTGAAAGCCCCAGAAGTAGGATAGGAAAGCCTCCTTCAGCTCAAGCATCTAACCCTTATTGCCCCTGGCAGCACGCCATCTCCAAACAAGCCACCGCCATCCCCTTTTCAGTCCGTTGCGTAGCTTCTTAGGGGGATCGGTGGTGTCAAATTCAATGCATCCTTTGGTCTTCTTACACTGCAGAAGCCTCCCAGTGTCATCTTTATCAGGGAGATGGACAGCATATAAATGTCATCAGTAAATAGTCATTTGTCTTGACTGAGGCTGACTTGGTAGAGTTTACTGTACCAATAAGTTACTTGTCCAAGCCATTGCCAGTGGAATTTTGGAGGTCAGATAACAGATAAGGAAGGGACCTTGTAGGTCATCTAGTCCAACCCCCGCCCAAGTGGGAGACCCCACACCATTTCTGACAATTGGCAGTCCAATCTCTTCTTGAAGGTCTCAAGTGATGGAGCTCCCACAACTTCCGAGGGCCACTTCTGTTCCACGGGTTGATTGTTCTCCCTGTCAGAAAGTTTCTCCTTATTTCCAGGTCGGATCTCTCCTTGTTCAGTTTCCATCCGTTACTCTTTGTCTGGACTTCAGGTGCTTTGGAGAATAGCCTGAGCCCTTCCTCCTCTCTGTGGCAGCCCCTCAAGATATTGGAAGACTGCTATCCTGTCTCCCCTGGTCCTTCTCTTCCCCAGACTAGCCAGGCCCTGTTCCTGTAACCGTTCTTCATTTGTTTTAGCCTCCAGTCTCCTAATCATCCTGGTTGCTCTTCTCTGTACTTTTTCTAGAGTCTCAACATCTTTTTTGTAATGATGTGACCAAAACTGGATGCAGTACTCTAGGTATGGTCTTACTAAGGCTTTATAGAGTGGTATTAGTACCTCCCTTGATCTCGATTGTATCCCTCTATTAATACAATTTAGGATTGCATTAGCTCCTGGCCTGAAGACCCTTGTTGACAGACCTGTTGAATTACGTCTGTTCTTCCTCTTATCCTGCACGCTGTTCTCCTCGTAGGTTTTTTTTCTCCCTTGAACAGCACCCCCCTCCATTGGGCCCCCTTACCCCAAAGTTCAGTCCAGGTCTTGTCAGTGGCACTTTAGGATTGTAGGCAAGCTCTCTCTCTCCCACCACCCCAAATTCCCCTAATAGTTGCAGGATCAGATTGATATGATAAGCCTTGGCTGGAGCCCTGGTGGTTCAGCAGGAAGGGATGTGAGAGGCAACAGTGACCAGGGTGATTGCCCACCTCACTCGCACTGTTCTTCCGCCTGGCAAAGGATGGGCACTCTAGGCAGTGTGTCAGAAAGTTTGGGGAGGCGGGAGGGGAATATTGTTGCATTGCCTACACTGCTATTTTCCACCCAGTCTTGTGGTTTCAAGGAATTAGGACATCTCCGGTAGCTTCTTAAAAATAAAGAACAAATACCATCACAAGGCGAATTTGTATTTGTCTTTTATTTATGGTTTCTTTGGGTGGGTGGGAATCATGATGCAATGAACAAGGGTCTGATTAGAATCCAGATCGCATTACAGAAAGGTTGTTTTGTAGGGGAAATTGGGCGAGACAGTACTGTCGATGTAGCCTTAAGATGCTGGCATTGATGCAAGATATAAATAACTGAATAGAATACTAAATCATGTTTACACATTATACTTCTTTATTTTCACTCCCACCACCCAAAGGGCACCTTGTCCCCTTTGCCAGAAGTTCCTGTGGGGATCTGGCAGGGGTCTGCAGGTGACATGAAAGCTGACTGAAAATTGCAGAAGCCAGAAATTCAAACCGCTTGGGTTATGCTTGAAGGAAGGGGAGGGGGCCCTGCAGTGGGACCCCGTTTTTTAAAAGCTTTGGGTAGGGGGAGCATGGACTTCTTGCAGAGAGGGGGAAGCGCCCCGCAAGAGGCAGGTTCCGGTCACCGACTTGTCTATCCCGGCACTAGTTTTGAATGTTCCTATCCAGAGTACTCTCGATCTCCACTCTTCGTGGCTGTGAAGACCCAGGCGAGCCAACCGGGCAAAAAAACACCGACGGCACCCATAATCCGGTGCTCCACCCTCCTCCACCGCACTCCCTCTGGTATCCCACCGGCGGCGTCTCCGTCACAGACCTTCCGCGCTCCAAATTCTGGATCCCCAGGAAGCAAGGCCACCACAGGTACAGATCGCGCTTTCTACCATCCCAATGGATTAACCCCCCCCCCCCCCCACCCCCCCCCCCCCCGACTGCCTATGTGCCCCCAGGCCCCAAAGGGATGGCACCAGTGGTTCCCGTGGAGGGGACCAAGGTCCCGAGAAGGCCCGAAGGTCCCATGAGCCGACAAAGAGCCTGGCTGAAAACCTCTTTTCGGAATACAGGCAAAGGATGAGGAGCAGACTGAAGAAAAAGCGTCCTTAAATTGAGTGAGGGTGGTAACATTTTATGAGTTTATCGCGATCTAACCTTGAAGTTATTTTGACATAAACTTAAGTATTATTTTTATTGGGGGAAAAGGAACAGAATCCTATCGGATTTCCTTTTAGTTTAGTGCTTTGTCCTTTTTAAAAATACAAACAACCTTAGAATTTGCTAAATCTTGAATGCCATTTTTTTAACGTTCAACTGGAGGCATTTATTGTGGATTATGGAATTTTTTATATGTATATAATTTTTAATGGACTGTTTAGGAAAAGCACTATTGCTTAGGTTTAGTATTATTTTAAAGGACCTTTCGACCCTCCTTGTCCCTCTGAACTTCTTCCCTACAGACCAATCCAAAATTGGTGGCATTAACACGCATGAGTGAAATGGTAGATGAAGGAAGAGAGGCCGGATTTATTTATTTTTATTTATTTATTTTACTTGTCAAGCGATTATAAGATAACATGTATAAGTAAAAACATAGTTATGAATACATGGATACATATAAGAAAAATAAAAAGAAACAATAGGACAGGGACGGTAGGCACGTTGGTGCGCTTATGCACGTCCCCTACAGGCCTCTTAGGAAGGGGGTGAGGTCAATAGTAGGCAGTCTAGGGTTAAAGTTTTGGGGGTTTGGGGAAGAAACCCCAGAGTCAGGTAGAGGATTCTAGACATTGACCACTCTGTTGCTGAAGTCGTATTTCCTGCAATCAAGTTTGGTGCGGTTTACCTTGACTTTGTTCCGCACCTGAGCAGCAGGCCTGCTTGGGATCAATGCTCACCAGCCCCTCTCTGTCTTTCCTTAATTCTCCCACCCAGCAGAAAGCGTTTTCAGTCGAAGAGTGGAAAGCAAGCTGCAAAACAACTTCGAAGAAACTAATAGCAGTTCCCAGAACTCCAGTGGTGAGTACCTGCCCTTCCCTGGGCACCATTGTGCAAGGTTGCAAAAATCTGGGTCTGGACTTAAAGGGGGCCCAGGGCAACAGGTGAGCAAAGAGGGACGGTGCCTGGTTCCTTGGTGTTTCTTTCAGCCATGTAAGTCGATGTCCAGGACTTTCCCTCTTTCTTGATCTGGCCAACTGCCGGCTCTGTGGATTGATTAAACTTGGGTGCTGCCAATTCTCAATGACTCTGTGCAGCTCACTGTAATCAAAAGAGATTTCAATAAAATCAACACATTAAAAAAAATCAAAAGTACTGGCTTAAAATTTTTAAAAAAATGTTTGCAAGAGATCCTTAAGAAACAAATAGAATTGGAACCAGAATTATTCTTGGTAGGGATACTTAAAAAGAAATGTGGGAAAAATATAAAATATATAATATTACACATTTGCCTACGCTCAGTGTTGGAAGCACAATTATATACGTTCAGACGAATTGATTATTCAAAAAATAATGGTGTGTGCTGAGATGGATAAATTAACCCTGATGTTATGAGAAAAAGAGGACTCTGAATATTATAGAATTTGGGAAAAATGGTATGATTGGATTGAATTAAGACATGGATGATGAAAGAATTAACGATAAGCAACCTATAGATTGACATTCGCATAAATTCTATATATTTGTAAATAAGCACAAAATAGAAGTCTATGAGATAGATGTCACATACTGTTAATGTCATAATATGTATATTTTTTGGTTTTTAAAGATATAAAAGACTAATAAAGTTTATTTTAAAAAAATCAAGATAAAAGACAGCAAACTAAACGATGTGTAAGATTTCCTTTGGAGAAAACCTGAGTGAAGGGGCAGGTCTTCAGAGCGCTTCTAAAAAACAGTAGAGTGGGGTTAAATCTAGATCTTGGGGAGAACCTTATTGCACAAGATAATGACAAATAAATTGGATAAATAAAATTAAAAAACACCAGTCACTTTCTAAAGTGTGCCATTCTTGGTGGTTTGGGGGCCTTATTGCCTTTAAGTACCCAGCGTAGTGCTTGCATTCTTCATGGGGTGACTCTTCCATGTTGCCTCTCTTTCTTTTTCGCAGAAACTGCCAGTCCTCTGGTTTCAAATCCTTTACCACTTTTGCAAAGTAAGTGCATTGGACGCCCACACTGCGTGTCCAGGGGGTGCATGCATCCAGCCCTTTCTGGATATAGAACTTTTAATTGATTAGTATTCGTTTTGGTCCCGTTTTGCACCTTTGTTACCCTGAATATAGTCGACTGCCATTTAGTTCACCAGGGCCAAGTCCTCTAACACTCTTTTTTTTGGGCCTTCCTTCCTTCCTTTTAGAGCCATACACCTGTGGGGCCTGTGGCATCCAGTTCCAATTCTACAACAATCTCCTTGAACACATGCAGTCTCACGCCAGTAAGTCTCTTGGTTGCTCCAAACATCTTGAGCTCCGGACCCACAGGAAAATTTGCTGGAATAGTCGGTGCAATATTGATCTCTCTCTCTCTTCTCCAAAAACCTTTTTTCCCCTTTTCTGCAACCAGGGACAAAACCCAAGCAGTTCTCCTCTCACCCAGCAGTGTGAGTGTTGCCAACAAGCAGGTGAAGGCCAAGATGAGAAGTCTTAGAAGCTTCTACTTTTGATGGATAGGCATAGTGGAGAGATTTGATAAAAGAGATGACCCTGACTGTTTTTTGGAAATGTGCAAGCAACGCAGGAGGTTGCTGGGATGGAAGCTAGGGACTGAATGGTTACTACCTGGCAGCTTTTGGGGAAAATGCCATGTCAAGGGCAGGGCATGCCTTGAAAATGTCAGGATGCCATCATTAGTAACATAACTGGAATGTGCGGTGGGAACTTGCAGTTGCCCCCGTGGCACACTTCTCCCGCACTCCCTTGTCTGGATTTAAATATTGCCATGAAATATTGCCATTCTACATGCGTAAGACTTACCTACATCTTTTGGGGGGCGGAAATTGTAGAGGAAAGCCCGTGGCTTGCTTTGGGAACCAAAAGACCATGATAGAGCAAACTTGGGAAAGAGGGGTGGGGGGCTTTAGAAAGGCTACTTCCAAAGCAAGCAAATTTGGGTCCTCAAAAGACAGGCTTATCCGCTCTGCTTCTGTGTGGCGCTAAAGTAAAATTGTAATCTGCGTGTGATTGTGGAGGTGCGATGTAAGGATTTCGGTCTCTTCCCTGCAATGCATCTGCATCTCTCAGGATAATGGTGTGATTTTTCACCAGTGCAGTTTTTAGTGTGTTTTGCCACTATGGAAAACTCACCTTTCCAACAAAAGGCAGCAAAAATTTTAAGCTTGCCCCTGCTGGAATATGTGGCACATGGTGGAGCACGCCTCCGTTGCAGGTTGTTTTTTTTGTTGCCAAGAGCCACTTTTCCTCCTTGGGGCCCCACCTTGGACTCTTTTGCAAGGGAGTATGGCCCAATCTACCTCCTTGTGGCCATCGTTGCCCTCGGTCAAGGCAGCCTTGCCTTGTGGAAGCTGCCCAGGGAAGCAGAGGGCCTGGGCTGCTGCTGGGTTTTGGGAGGTGTTCGCGGTTGTGTGATTCGGAAGGCCTGCATTGAATCGCCCTCTGCTGCTCCCCGGAGGCAAGAGTCATTGCAGTCACTTCCTGTCCTCTGTGCCTCTTTGCCCTGCAGCTGACAATGAGAACAACATTGCCTCAAACCAGCCCAGGTCACCTCCAGCTGTGGGGGAAGAAAAGTGGAAGCTGCAGCCACAGAGGAACAACTCCAACAACAGTATGTGTACTACGGGACAACCAGTTAGGAGGAGGAGGAGGAGGAGGAGGAGGAGGAGGAGGAGGAGGAGGAG